ATATTTTCTTGACTTCGGCACTAGTTGGAGGTGAGTAATCAGCTTCACGCTCCGACCACAATACCCCCAGGGTAAAAGTCCCCGGCACCCATTGGATATGAGACTGGGTGGACCTCAGAGACACTCTGGACGACTTAAAGAAGAGAAAAATTAACCCTACAGGGACTCGAACTCCTACCCCTCGGTCGTCCAGCCCGTAGCCAGTCGCCATACTGACTACACTATCCCGGCTACCAAGAAATATCCGATAAATATAATTGTGTAGCTGATAATATATTAACTCTTTGAATTTAGTATAGGTGCCATTTTATTTTGTTCTTAGAAGCTCCCAACTCAATCCATAGAGCTTCTTATTAGCGGGTTTCGGTTTGTTCCCAGGACATACGCAATTCTTTCTGAACTTCATTAACAAACTGCTCTTTACTTTAATCAGTACAATAATCAGTAGAACACCGTAACATTCTCCGCAACATAGAATCTTATTGAACGTAATCTCGAGTCTACATAATAAGGTTGATGTGTGCCGTCTTGTCATAATTAATAGCTGTTTTAGATCGTCACTTCGACTTGCCAAAATGTAATAAAAACATACACACACACACACACCACGATCCCAGCATATGTGCTAATCAGCAGATGTTATCAGCTTCCGAGACAACACGTCGACTGCTGTGGACTGATCTCTTGGTCACCTGGTTCACTGGGCTTCCCATCACTTACGGAAACTTATCAAAGAGAAAGTGTCCCAGCCACGTGCCTCGAGAACAGAGCAGGGCAAAGGTTTAAGGAGGAAAAGTAAATCAGCAAACGTGTCCGTAGCACTGCTTACATTTGTTGAGCGTGTCTATGTTTGTAAATATTTATTTGAATGTACTGGCTACATTCGGTGAAGCTATCCCTGTAACAGGCCGTGGAGGGCCCATGGGGTTGTGAGACTTCAAGGATCCCACATGTTTTACACAATCGGCTCACAGATGGGGGTGGGGTTGTCAGTCTTACACGTCAGAAAGCCGCCCTTTACCCCCAGGAATATTCCTGGTACTCATTTCTGTTAGAGGCTGAGTCAACCCAAGGCCAAAGTGCGGCTGGAAGGATTACATCGATTGAAAAATACAATGATATCGAGACTCGAACCCGAAACCTTCCGGCTTGTATCTTACTGCCTCAACCAACTACACTGAAGCGTGCGCCACTTCATTCAGTTGCCTATCAAAAAGCACATCTTTAATGATAAATTAGTTATGATGACGGTGATGATATGGTGACGACAAGAATGTAGGAATGACGTAGGCAGTAAGGTTAGGTTGCAAACCACGTCAGAAAGCAGTAACAAAGCGCGGCTGACCGGCACACTTGGGGCTCGGGATCAATGACAAGTCACAGCGGACACCTCTCACTGGAGTTGCGGCCGATCCAGTGCTCGCTGCCCGTGAACACCGGGGTCCTAACCGATGTCTCCGTCTGCTTGTGCCGCTCCCTCCCCAACACCATCTACTAATAAGCAGCATCTGTATGCCTGGCACCAGCATATCAGGGGTCTAATCTTGAAAGAATGGAGGAAGAAAAAGTAATCAAGGGAAAAATAATTGAGAAGATAAAACATACAAAATAAGCAAAAAAAAAAAAAGTTAGAAACAAAGCAAATATAAAGAGAAAGATCTTCTATAGTGTAACGTCTGGTGGAATTCTATCGACGTTTCGGAGGTGCTCTCTCAAACTTTGGGATCGAAAAATAAGATGAGTATGCAAACAGTACATATTCTGCAACTTACAAAGATTATTATTCTGTCATGAAGATGGAGACAATGTGTTACTCTGAAACACATCAAAACTTCTATCAGGCTCACAGCGATACATCCCACATGATAACATCTTTTATAGTCACCGCCTTCAGAACATGAGGCTCAAATTAAACATATGGTGAGTAGGGAAAAAACAAATTACGAGTTGCAACTTTAAGCCGTGTAAGACAAATGTTCTCAAGACTTTTAAATTTTTTACTCATCTGTATAATTTTCATAAAACTAGGTATCTTCATAATACGGACGGAGGTAAGACACTGAAAACAAAGTTTCGCTGGGCAGAAATCCTAATAATTTCTTCTGCTAATATTCGGTAAGTCCTGAGTTTTAATCTGTGTTCTCTTGTTTTCTTTCGGCACTTCCATATGAATACTGGGGATGTTTGTGCTGTATGGGGTATGGTCTCAATGATAACGTTTATTTATGCTAATACAATTATATTATTATTATCATTATTATTCATTGGCTGCTGAGCTCAGCATTTAAATAATCAAAAAGTTTGATTCGAGTGTCGTTATTGTTATTATTACTCTTATTCAATTTATATTAGCATTTGAGCTGTTGAGTTAACATGTAAATAAGTAAGAATTGGAGTGAACTGATGTGCGCTGAATCTCTTCTTTCTCAGTTTATCATTCCTAGTCATTCTATCACGTTTTGCATTTCGTGTAGCGTCATTAAGTGAATCCAGAAACGAAAAAGAAAAATGTAAGCAGAAACATTGCCTGATAACCTTCGTGCCTGTTGTGGGTCTAGAGATAATGCCGTAACTTCGAATACACTTCATTGTGACACTTCGAACCAGATCACTCACACCGACAGTTCTTCACGTGTACTCACGCCACGTCCTTTCAAACTAACCAGCACGGCAGTACAAGTTATAAAGATAATGAACTCATCATACTAGAAACCTTTGGTCACTGAATAGTAGGACAAACCTAACGAACTGCGCTCTGAGCAAGGGATGAAGCCACTTGTGAGCGGAGTCTAGCCCCAGCGCCGAAATTGGGACTCTTCTGACCTCCCGAGGAGATCATCCGAAAGATGCGTGAGTGGCCTGTGGACGTTCGCTGTCCCCGTCCTTGTAAAATGGATTTCAAAGTTACGTGACTGATTTTTCGAACGAGCCGGACGGACTATCGTTGTTATAATATAGTCATGATTTCATTAAAGCTACTTAAATCCTCGAAAATGGAATAAGGAATATCATTAGAGAATGTTAGAAGAGCAACTGAAGAAGGAGGTTAAGTTCGTAACTAACTGTATTATTTACGCACTGTAACATGTTCATTGACAGTGATAACATGAACACTCTCTGAGGGGAAGGGCAGGTCTAGGTATCTAGCACCCAACTCCTAAAAAAAAAACTCCCTGAGTTGTAGTCCGCAAGCGAAATATACCGACCGAGCGACCACCGTTTGTCGGCGAAGTTTTTTTATTGCTAGTGGTGTGGGACTAAGTTCCTTCCTTGTACTGCGGCCACTTCTGGCCTATTGTACCAGCCCCAGATGATAGGTGAGGGTGATTGTGGAGCAATTGGTGGAATGAAGATTGGCAGGGGAAACCGAAGTACTCGGAGAAAACAGGCCCCAGTGCCACTTTGTCCACCACAAATCCGACTTGACCAGACCCGAGATCGAACCCGGGCCGCCGCGGTGGGAAGCTAGCGACTAACCGCTTGAGCTATGACGCGGCCATGTCGGCGAAATTAGTGCCAGATTTCGAGGACAGAAGGTGTGTCGTGGTCAGCGCAACGGATCCCATGGTCGTTAATCTCGGTTTTCTAGACCGGAGCCACTATTTCCTTGAAATAGCTCCTCAATTATCATCACGAGACTTAGTGAACCCCGTTATAGCCCCCAACAGATGTCTTAAAAATTAAAAAAAAAAATGAAGACAAGAGGAAATGTACCAAAGAGTATCAATAAAATTTAAAATTATTTTCTATATCAGTAAAAATAGTCTTACGTAGTAATCTCGCCGCCAATCCTCGCGCTGCTCGTTTCACAACATAAAGGTTAAGCGACAAAATGCCTAGTCAGCACTTGGATGGGTGACCGTTCGTAAATATTTGCCGCCTGCGCGATTTTTTACAGTTTCCGGGGCCCTTAAAATGACGGTATGCACAATTTTCCTGGCCCACTGTACTGGTTCAGACGAGGCACCCATCCTCGTTCTACGAGTAAACCTTACTTTCCCCCATCCATTTCAAATCACAGTCAATTACCGTAAAACATTCTTCCGTATTAACGGAGATGTTCAGATTTAAAACTGTCAGTCAATTTGTATAAAGTATCACAGCGTTGTGAGTTGTGCACTTGAACATTGGGGATCTCATTTAAAAAAATCAGTAAATAATAAAGAAATTTCCGATCCCGGTAGCCGAGCAGTCTAAGGCATGTACTGTCTTCGCTCACTCGGAAGCCGGGATCATGGGTTCGAATCCCCCACAAGGCATAGATGTTTGCTGTGTGTATGCTTTTATTCTGTTTGTATTGTCCTGTGTTTAGGTAGAAGCCTTGCGACGAGCTGATCACCCGGCCTATCATCTGTAAAATGATTATGAAACTGAAAATCAGAGGTCAGGGTCCAAGGGGGCTGTAGAGCCAGTGAGAAAATAAAATTTCTAACGTATTTTGGTGTACGTTTTCCAAACAGTTAACTGACTGTGGGCCATTTTATATATATACACACACGCGAACACATACATACGCACACAAAAACTAAGAAACTCACCACACACAGTCGAAACATGGAGACAGAAGCTGCATATACTTCCACAACGGAGGTAACATGACCCACATTGTAATAACCCAAGAACTGAAGAAGCATTACTGACTCGCGAAAGCCTGTTAGCAGTAAATGTAAGTTGGTACACAAATTTTCCGGCTGGACCTGTGCAAAAGTGGTTGCCCGTGCTGGAAAGGAAAATGCTGATATTGCCGTCAAGAGGTACCAATTTCCCTGAAGGCATTGTCATGTTAATAGACACACTAACTTCACTTCGACATACTCCCAGAGGAGATTAGGACATACTGAACAAAATCATGAAGCCTAGATATGTATTTTGCAAATATTATGTTTCTGAACATTAATGTAGCATCGTCACAAATATTTGGATATTATTTACATATTTTTCAGCTTACACTGCCTGTTTGGGTGTGTCTGAAGTAAATCTAGTTACCATTTAATGCTTACCTTCCGGATAGCCGTTTTATATCAACTTCTGCAGGATGCTGTGGGTTTGATGCCAGGGTGTTCGACACCCTGTGTCATTGCTTGAGGACCTTACTCCAGTTCCAGGTGCTCCTGCAAATGTAATACGGAATTGATTACATGTGCGAAATATTCATCTAAATATTTTCATTTTATATGTTTTTCTTTTATAGAGAAATATTAATCGAAAATAAGATAAAAAGTTAGCGTTTCTCCGTGACATTTTGAATCTGAATGCTCTTCTATTCCATGTCAGTATCTTAATAGCAGTGAAATACTATACAGTCCTGCTCTATTCATTTAATAGTCACATGCTGCTGTTTCGTCACTATAGCCTTGATATTTTTTTCGTATTTCATTTATTTGCTGTATATTGTACTTTTCATAAAAATAATTTTAATTAAAATACTAAATTATTTCTCCATCCTTGTATTTTAATGTTTGTTCCTAAAAATACCGCTAATCCATTATATTCTGCCATGAACCGTAAGCCTTATTTCAAGGCGAATATGACTGGAAAACTTGATTAAGAATAACAACGTTACCGCTTTATATATTTAATGAGTCATTTTTGGCGTTGTCAGTAGCTAAATTATACAGCGTCAAATGGTAGGATTATAGATAAATAATGAACCGAAAAGGATTTCGAAGGTTTGTCACGGTCTGTTCAAGGAAATAACCCGAAATTTCACCGGAAGGGACTGAGGGAAAACACGAAAATCCTCAGTTAGGATAGTCGGCTTCCCGGCTGAGATTCGAACCCAGTACATCTCTAGAACGAGTCTATAGCATTACTGCTACACAACCCACTCTGTAAGATGCATAATAATAATAACAATAACAATAATTGCTTCACACCTCATTTTAAAAATAATAATCTTGTGCATTCCGAGGTCCTGTCATTTGGGGAAGATGAAGAAGCCCTAACGTAACTGACGGTGAAGTGGAGAATTTAACATCGATCTCTGAAGGAAACGGAAAAAAAAAAAGATTAGTTCTCGAAGACGGTCCATGGAGGCAGGGAGGTACCCAGACAAGAACTAGGTTACTCTTGAATTCTGGAAACATCCACAGGGACAGACAGACGGACGGATGGGTGGAGCGGCCATCATTGCGAGGCTATGCAAAGAACAGCTCAGACGAAGACAGAGTACAGGAAAGCACTTAGAGTAGACACACATATATACATATACAAATACAAAAAGACTATAATACACATCTTTATAAAAATAAAAAGAGATAAAATAAAGTTTTTTAAAAAGTTTCATTGCAACAGCAGCCAATACGACTCGAGTCGGCGCACCACCTTTAAATCATTTCCTGCAATCCGATTGGCTGAAGGTTACACTTGCGTGCTGTGTCCATGAAATCTGATTGGTTCACACCAAGTTTTAGTTCCTATTGTAAAAGCTAGATAACATACTGCGTACTGAAACGAACAGAGCAAAAACTCTACTTGATGGATGGATGAAATGGTAATGGTAGGTAGGAGACAAGACAACACTCTAACACCATCTGTCAGCGGACACTTGCACTACGACGGCAACGAGAAAGGACAGAGAAAGACTTATAAGAGGGACAGAGAGAGAGAGAAAGCCGATACGAGATTGATTGATTAAGGCATTTGCGTCATTGTCTTTTTTTTTTATCCAAACGAATGGAGTCTACAGCGCTCGTGCGTCTTCAGTTAGATACGAACGAAGTTTGTGCCAGAGGTTATGGGCAGTAATATATAAAATTAGGATTGTCACTTCAAACAAGCTGATTAACAGATGCAATAAATTTGATGAATTTATAATAAAATAGTGGTACGATATTGTTATCGCTTATATTACTATCAACCTTCTGGAAATTCTTAATCTTCGATTTCGTACTCAGTATCTCAGAGTTATTTCTGTGTTTAATGTCGACTCTTCAAATAAATCTGTCCTCCTACTAAATGTGAATCACGTGCCAGTGTTGCCTGATGGGACGTTGATATACTTCAAACAAATGTTGCCGCTTTCAATCATATTTTAAAAGAGTAGTTGTGTGTTCTTATTTCCTACAAATTAAATTGTTAATTAAGATCAATATAATGTATGTATTTATTTTATTGTTAATTTAATGACAAAATCATTATCGAGAATATGAAGGGCCCATGATATGGTGATTGATGGATGATGAATTGGAAAGAATTGGGAAGGAATCTGTAGTGGCCTAATCCGAGTAACTATCCCGGCGTTTGCCTGGAGGGTTGAGACAAACCACGAAAACTTCAATCAGTATAATAAGTGTCCCGTCCGAGATTCGAACCCTGCACCTCTCTAATACAATTATAGATTGTTACCGCTAGGAAAACCTCTTCAGTTCCTTAATGATAAATTTGATTTGTTTTAATTGAATTACTATTATTTTTAGATGTGCTTAATATTTATGACTAATTTGCTGCTTCGTTTACTCATTTTTTAATTGCCTAACCGATGTATCATGTTATACACGAGCTAAGGTTCTGACAGAGGTCTCTATGAAGAGGTTTATATTACGGGATATAGGGCCGTATCCTACAGTGAAAGGCAATCGATGATTCAGAAAAATACAGGATGTCCGGATGAAAGGAATCCAAAATAAAAAAAAAAAATTATATCACGAAAACTAATTGTCATACACGTATCCGGTTTACGGCATCCGAAAAGAAAACTCTGTTTCTTTTTTTCATGCTCGGCTTAAGCCCATGCGCCGCTACATTTCGGCCACCATGTTAGGAATCAGCTTTCAGACAGATGACTGGGAGATGGATCGGCAGAGGTGGATCAATTGCTTGGCCTCTTAGGTCGCCAGATTTAACCCCATTGGATTTTTTCTTGTGGGGTTATGTGAAGAACAATGTCTACCAGGTTAAGATCAACGACCTTCAACACCTGAAAGCCCGCATAAGGGATGCTATGGCTATGGTAACACCAAACATGATTCAAGTAACGTGGAACGAGGTCGAATATCGTTTGGAGATTTGTCGTGCCACCAAGGGAGCCCAGGATGAAATTTACTGAGAAAGTTATATACTCAGAAAAAAAAAACGTTAATAATTTCCCTTTGTAATGGTGTAACCTATAAATCTTTCTGAGATATAATTATTTTATTTTGAATATCTTCCATCCGGACAACCTGTATATCGTCTCCATCTTCAGCCACAAAGAGGATGTTAAGCAAGAAATAGGCATAAAGCAGACTCAGCTTACTTCTTGCTTGTTGCGGAATCAACATGGTCCTCCGTAACTTTGGCTGGCGTTCACCAAACAACAATGAGTTATCTGTCAGAAGATACATTGTTACGTCCGTTTCTCTGAAGTGTCTCTTCGCCTTTCATTGCACTGTTCTGTGTTCTGTGACGATGAGTTCAGGGACATCTGTTGTTCAAGGTACGTTAAGGATTTATGCGAAAGAAATAAACGTTCCTCTTTTCTTCTCTTTGTTGATAATAAGAACTGTATTAGTCCTATTGCCTCTACTGATGACTGCCGTCTATCGCAGCTGTCGCGCATTAACCCTGTGCAGAATTGGTGTGCTCCTAACCACATGGAATTTAACGCTGGTAAAACAGTTGCTCTTTCCCTTCCCAGAAAAATCAATATATTGGGAATCTTCCGGGGGGTAAAGGGCGGCCGGCGCTTAAGGCTGACAACTTCACCGCCATGTGTGACACGATTGTCTCGAAAATGTTGCAGCCTCGACGCCTCACAACCCTATGGGTTTTCCAAGGCCTGTTATAGGGACAGTTTTACCTGTATTAATTGATATTTCTAATTCTGAAACCCTGTGTGCATGTTATATTGAAGACCTTACTGTTTTTCTTGTTCCCTAAACTCAACTGCCATCACCAGAGATAGGGACTAGCTCTATCGATTGGGCCAAGTGAGGACGGAGAGAGAATCCAGTCTCCGAAATCTGTGTTTTAAACATAAAGAGAACGGCGCTTTAGATTAAAAAAAAAAGCAGGACGATGGATAATGTTCAGAAACATAATATTTGTAACAATAATAACTTGTACGAGATGGCAGATTGTGGTGGGTCTGACAGTTTGATAACCGAAGTACACGATTTGCTGATTCAAGGGAAACATAGGTCACGAACGGTAATTTACAGCCTTTTTAATAATACAACATACTGTTCTTGTAACTTGTGTTTGGTGGGTTGCCATATGTCACCCATGGGTTGTACGATGCAGTGGTACTAATCCGTTTTTCAGAGGAACCATAAGCTTCCTTCTCACTTCCTGTATTCTCCATAAACCTTTTTTATACAAACCTCTGTACCACATTTTCTCATTTCCTATACATATTTCTAACATACACAAATTATCCAGGTTACTGCTACTCTTGTCATATTACATATGGTAATTTCTCATACATTAAAATATCTTATCAGTGATGCTGACTTTCGGTAATTGAATTTTATGTTATTATTAGGTCCATTAGTATTACTATTATTAGTATTATTATTATTAAAATTATCCAAAATTATTTCTCTTCGTCCTTTTAAGTTTGTCATTCTACAGTACCACTGACAGCGAAACTGGTCATCAGGTTGTATAGTCAGTAAGTAAATAAAAGATTAATTGTATTATTATCATTATTATTAATACTATTATATTAGCTATAATACCCCTCTAACTACACGTATTAAAATATTAACTGTGTTCAACAGAGTAATTTGAGTACATAAATTTTCATGTTATTATCACTATTAATTTTTATTTATGTTAGCTGTATTAATTATATTTATTCATTAAGGCCTTTAAGTCAGCACCTAGATAAAGAATTGAATTACTGTTGTTGTTGTTGTTACTACTGCTGCTACATAACTCAGCCAATATAAGGGCTGATTGATTACCAGATGGACGGCCGAAGAACCGGGGTTCAATTTCCAGTAGGGGCAGGAATGTCTTTATTTCCACAGTGCTCAGACCTGTTCTGGAACTCGCCCAGCCTCGTATCTGATATGTCCCGAGCATATTTCCCCAGGAGTAAAACGGTGAGAATATGATGCTGACATGCTGAGATTAAAAATGCACGGAGCTATACCTCCGTTCCCCCGCAAGTTCTCATGCCGTGTAA